AATTATTGTGTACTCATAATGACTAATAAAACGCTATTTCATCCATTTATATTGAATTTTATTATATCACCGTTTATATGGGGAACAATTATAACGGGGAATTTAAAAGATGGTCGTAAAAGGGATATGGTCGCTTACGAGAGCTGGTCGTTCAAAGAGAGTCAACTGTATATATACAGTCCTTGATCAGTGTCATGCTTACGCGACAAGACCGAAAAGGACTACGGGTATAAATTAACATGCGTAAAGACCAGAAATGGAATTTTACTCTAAAATCGAGGGCAGATCAGTGTCTTGAAACTTATGTCACGTGACCTTTGAAAGCATTTCCGTTTAATTAGAATTTTTTTATTCAGTCATAATTTACACCCGATTTCAAATGAGTGCGAACTCTCGAATTTTTTTTTTGAACGCTAAACTTTCACTCGACCGTCATTCACTCGACCGCTTGGTAACCAGGCACACGTGTTTAGTAAGTGATGCGTGACTTTCTGTAGCGGGACTTTCGCATTTATTAGAATTATGGAGGAAGAAGCGGTGGTCTTTGTTCGAGATATCTGTAGTCCTTGCATGTGTTTCACGGAAGATACAGTTCAGGTTTTGCAAGAATCATGAACTTGAGGGGGTTGTTTTCTGCATCTTGAAAAGATATTCTTATGATGAACTAAAATACACATTTTTTCTTTTCTTTCGTTATGTAAACAGTTTAAGTTTACAATAAAAAAATTATCAAGCAAGCAAAAAAATAATTGCACATTGTTGTTTAAATTAAAGGTTGAAAACGAAGTAACTTATGTTTAAATGTAACCTTCTTTCGAAGAAGTAAATATATTCTTATTCGTATTACTGTAAAAACCCTGATTGATTGAATACAAGTTTACAATGGCACTTACATATGAGAAGTCGAGGCCTTCCACGCCGTGTATGTACAGCAACATTTCCTGTACGTTTGTAAAGTTGTCGAATTTTACTTACAAACGTTTTCCCTACAAATAACGCTCTACAAGTTTCCTTAATGCTTGAACCGTAAATAAGTTCATGGTAAATACCCCTCCACCGAATATCGTCCGATAACCTCTTCATTTTAATCAGTAAACTAGTAAAATCAACAAAGAACAGCCTACGAACACTAAAAGCGATTTAAAGTGCGCGCGCTTGTCAGTGTTTGTCACGCTATTTATTTTTCAACTGTTTCGTTGTAATTATGAACTGATAAAGTTAAGTAAACCGAAACTAGTTTTTTACAATAAGTTCGTTTTGTAGTGCGATCACAAACCGTAGGAATTTAGCCCACAGACATACATTAACCATGGTTTTTATACTAGGATAATTTTACCCGCTTCAAGCTGTGCCAGGTTACCAAGCGGTCGAGTGAATGACGGTCGAGTGAAAGTTTAGCGTCCGAAAAAAAATTCGAGAGTTCGCACTCATTTGAAATCGGGTGTAAGCACCACTTAGTTGAAAAGCTTTAAGAAAACATAAACAATTATGTCTTTACATTTCATTTATTCTGATTTATTCATGGAGATTAAACATTCCACGCGAAGGAAAGCACTTGATAGCTGTCCAATAGATCAAGTGACGGTTTCGACTGTCATGTTTTCAGGTAGGCAAAGTCATGCAAAATAACAAGGATAGAGTGAGAAATCGAAGTCCTATAATATTTCAGTTCTGAAAGTATCATAAATTTCATAAGTCAATACTACAAATAGAGGTTATCTGAAGGACTAGTAGTTGACCTAGGGAGAGAGTAAATTCACTTCTCCATACATTTC